TTTTAGCTATTGAGATCTATTATGAGATTTATGATAAAGAGCTTTTTGTAATTGTAGATTCTTTCTAAGAATGATATTACTTGTTAGAAGGTACTACATATCCTATAATTATATATATAAATCACAAAAATTTGGAGTATTTCATGTCAATTAGGATTTTGAATCGCCATCAAGCTTATTGGAATATATCATTATCTTATTTTAAATTTATAATTACATATTGACCAAAAAAGCAATAAAAACTATCAAATGCTTTATCAAAGAAATCATCTCTTACTCCAAAGGTTAAAGAAGTGGCATTTGATCAAAAATAAACTACTCTCTTGAAGCCAAAATAATTTCATTTTTATACTACTTCTATAATTATACTTGTTGATTCAAAAAAATTTGAATAAAATTGTATAGCATCAATTAAGGATTCATTAGTTTATAATATTAAGCAGTACCTTGTGAATGACAAGTTCAAGTTTGTAAAGAATCTTTTGTATTTTGAAGATTGTTTATATATTCTAGAAGGACCAATGCAACTTTATGTTCTTTAATCTCATCATGATTTTTTAGCCATGTGACATTTTGGATTTAACAAAACATTGGAGCTTATCTCTCAAGATTTTTGGTGGCTTCAATTATAAAAGACCATGAAGAACTTTGTCTTCTTGTGTGATATTTGTTCAAGATCCAATATCATTCTTATGGACTTCTATAGCTACTATCAATCTCAAAGCAACTATAGTCTTCAATATCAATAGATTTCATCATTGATCCACTACCATCAGATATATTTGATGTTATTTACGTTATTGAGGATCAACTTATAAAGACGGCATATTTTTTCTAATATAAAAAGGTAATTTTTAGAGAAGAAATAAAAAGGCTCTTTTTTTATATATGTCAATTCAAAAAATATCATTTTATTTCAATTATGGTTACCATCTAAAGCTTGATTTATTATGTACATCAAAAGATGAAAATCTAATAGCTAAAAACTTGTAAAACAATTGTTATAGCTTCAAACAACTTTGAAGGTCTATTTATAAGCAACTCAAGATTCTTATAAAGTATCTTCACAAAAATTTAAAAAAGAATTCTCTACTTTTTTAAGTTAGGAATAAAAAATGGCTTCTTTGACAAAATATCAAAACTAATTAGTGTTGCAATAAATTGAACTACTGAATATTAGAGTCATTTTGTATTCAAAAGAAAATCAATCCAATAGCTTATTGGTTGGAACTATCCACATCTATGAAGGTACATTCAGTCTTTCATGTTTTTTTCTTAAATGCTTATTCAAAAACAACTATTCTAAAAAGAATACAACCATCACTACCTTACATTAAGGTATAGCCTAGCATTACGGCAATGCTTGTTAGTTGGAAAAGTAATGTCCTATGCTCTTGTTCATGGTACCTAAAGTTCATAAAAAATTAGTCATTGTACTATAGATGATTAAAGAGAAGGATGTAAACAAGACCTAGTTACATATTCTAGTAACTCATAGTTGGCATCTCATATTGTTTATAGGCTAGAATTAGAGCTTAGTTAAATATGGTGTGTTGATTGAGCTAAACATATTTTCTATTGCATTAATATTATTGCAAATATTTTATGGATGCTTTGCTGCTTTGCAGCTTTCCTCTTTTTCTCTATCTGTTGAGCTACCACTCTAATATCTAATTAAAAAGCTATATAGTAATATCCTATATGACAAAAAATTAGAAATGATAAGGTCATTTAAAACTTGATTTTGATTGAAGTAATAATTATATATTTTATATATGAAAAAAATAGAAATAAGTTAGATCATTTAAATATCTTCAAATTAGATCTTTTATGAATTAAAAATTATTGATATCAAATTAAATGATGAAGTTAAAACTTTGTTCTTATTTACTTTGATGTTTCTATTATTTGAGTATTTGGTCACTATTTTATTATATAAAAAAGATACAAAAAAAAATTTTAAAATACTTATTTATTCTTATTTAATTATTGAAAAAATAATTTAATAATAAAACTTTCTATCATAAAAGATTATTTGTATAAGGTAGAATAAAAAAATAAAAAAATAAAGAAAAAAGTATAGATTAAAATTTAGAAGTTTTTTTTTAATAAATCCAAAATTAAATGTTGTGAGCGTAAAAAGTCGGAATAAATTTTTTTAAATTAAAAAAACAAAGACAAAACTTAATCTTTTTTATATTAGATCTTTAATAAATTTTGATGAAGATTTTTAAAATTCCATTATTATGAGGACAAAAAATGATAAGTATATATATATATAGATCTTTAATTCTAATTATTTATATTATATATATTTTTAAATATAATATTAAGAACATAGTATATTCTTATATTAGTGAAAGAGAAAATAAAAAAAGAAGAAATAATTGTATGATATAAAAATACTAATTATAAAGAAGTTAGAAAGTCATGAATTCAAACTAGAATATAAGAAAGATAATTATAAGTTTGAGGATGGCCTTATTTTTACCTCTTTATATATTAACTTTCAAGAAAGTATTGTAGAAGCTTCTCAAGAATCACAAGACTTATGGCCCAAGTATTAAATATATGTTACTTATAATATTACTTCCTAAAATTTAAAAAATTATTAAACAAGATTTAATAGCAACCTAACATATCTATAAAAGTATCAATATCTAAGAAATCCATGTCTAAGAAATTTCTTCAATATTTTTTAAAGAAAATATTATCTATCAAACAATCTTCTACTTTCTTCTACTTATTTAAATAATTTAGACATGTATTACAATATTTGATTTTGTTTTACATTAACAATACTTAAATTAAAATAAAGATTGGTATATAAATATTTTGTATCTTACTTAAGCTATTGCATGTAGTATAATGGGCTTATTTACTATATTATCATATATATTTCTTTAGAAGTTTCAAGGAGGTGTATAAAAATTATTCTACTTCTATTTAGTACAAAAGAATAATAAACACTACCTACCATAGTTTGATATACATATTATTTAGTAAGTGCTTGAGGTATATTTTTAAAACTCTTTGAAGCTTTTATATGCACCATTTTTTAGTTTTATAGAACCACAATTGCTTGTGTATATTATTTCAAATCTTAATAGAAAAATTATATGATCTTTTTTTTTTAGTGCATGTAAAACTATATTGTTTTTTTTTAATCAATATAATTAGTAATATAAAGGTATTTTCTAAATTAATTTTAAAATAAATAATAATCAAAAAAAATTTAATTTCAACTTTAAACATTTACAAATATTACATAATCATAAAAAAAAAAATTAGGAATAAAATAATATATATATATATATATATATATATATATATATATATATATATATATATATATATATATTAGATTAAAATTTTATTTATTTATTTTTCAAATATTAGTAAAATATTTGTATTAAAGATTAAGCCCAAATAAATATCATAAATTAATTAAAAATAGATATATAAACAATAATAAGAAAAAAATCTTTAGATTTTAAATTATATGTATCATTTTATGATTTCAATGTACAAAAAATAAATTAATGGAGGAAAAAATATAAAAATATATTTAAAAAATTACAACATAAATCAATTAAGTAATTATTGTGATTAATTTTTTTAAAATAATATAAAAATAAAATTTTAAGATTAAATAAATTCTCATTTTTAAAAAATTTATATTTTAGAAATTTTATTATTTAATAATTTCGAATAAATTAAAATATTATTAAAATATTTATCTTTAAATATATCATATATATGGCTTATAAATCTACATAAAAAAATTATTTTTTTAAAATAATTTTATAAAATCATATGGAAATTTTAAGTTAAATGAATGTATAGTTAGAAATAAGTCTTATGTTATTATAATTTTATTTTAAAATTAATTATAACTCTTTTATAATTTAATACTTATTTATTCTCATATTTTTTAGTTTTATTTAATAACTACAAGATTTTTATGCTATGAAATTAATTTTTACTTCAATATTCAACTTAAATTTATAAGAGTAAAAATAGGGTAATACATTTGAATAATAATTAAATGAATGCAAACTCTTGTAAGGTTTAAAAATTATAATTATAAGAAATATACAAAACCAACTAAGATAATTTTTTCTAAGATTTCTAAGACTCCAATTTAATAACCTTCACTTAATAGGACTCATCTAACATATAAAACCTTCTAAATCCAAATAAATATATAAATCATTAAAAAGATATTCTAATCTTAATATTTTTATAATTAAACAACTTATAAAATTTTATTTTATAATAGATCCACCAATTAAGATGCATTGGTGGGATTCACATATAAATGCCAATTATAACCTTACATTTAAATATTTTTTTCTACCATATTATGCAAAATAGTTCCAAAATACATGTTTAACTGAAGATTTAAAATAATTAAGATTTTTTTTATGTAGGATGATAGAAAGTAAAGGTTGCTACATTCTATTCTTATTTTCTATTATGATCCTTCCTTGGGTGCAATAACAATAGTTTGCCACCATAGACTATACATACCAAATAGAATTTCATATTTCAAAGCAATCAATTCTATTCTCTAAAATTTTTTTTGTCATAAACCAATATCTTAAAGTAAAGAGCTACAAGATAGAGTTCAGCCTCAAGCAGAACAAGGTGAGCAATGAAGGGCGACAAGCATGTCAAACTCATGGAACACGCCCAGACTCATCATAAGTTTCACTGACCAAGTAGTGAAGGGCCATAGGAAAAAGGGGAGCAATGGGACAGCACAAAGGGAGAGGATCGGAAATTGGAGGGATTCACACATGAGCATTGCTTTTGGCAGCCCAGTTCAGAGCTCCCACACAACCCTTCCCTTTGCTTGTATGTGAAGCATCGCTGCGGTCATGGGCACCCTTTGGGATGCAGTGGTTGGCTCCGACGACGGTTACAGGGCCCGTATGGCGCGGGATCAGGTGCCCACAAGGCGGCCCGCTCGCATTGTCATTTGCGTCAGGAGTCCGCTACAGCCAGTAAGTATATTCAGGCCTGCTGCAGCCGTGTGTGCGCCGCAGGCGAGCAAGCGAACGAGTGAGCAAGAGCGTCGTGCTGTTGAACAAGGTTGGGTTGGAGTTTGCGGTGAATTTTGTGGTGGGGCGTGTGAGGGGAATTTGTCAGGATGCCGAAGAATAAGGGAAAGGGAGGAAAGAACCGGAAGAGAGGAAAGAACGAGGCGGAGGACGAGAAGCGGGAGCTGGTGTTCAAGGAGGACGGGCAAGAGTATGCGCAGGTACTGAGGATGCTCGGCAACGGGCGGTGCGAGGCGCTGTGCATCGATGGAACGAAGCGGCTGTGCCACATACGCGGGAAGATGCACAAAAAGGTGTGGATTGCGTCGGGGGATATTATTTTGGTAGGTCTGAGAGATTACCAGGACGACAAGGCGGACGTGATTCTTAAGTACCAGCCGGACGAGGCCAGGCTTCTGAAAGCGTATAGCGAGCTGCCCGAGAACGTGCGTCTGAACGAGGGTATTGCCGGCGGCATGGATGACGAGGAGGGTGGCGGCGACGACGATTATGTGGAATTCGAGGACGAAGACATCGACAAGATTTGAGGGAACGATTATTAGTGGTCTTGTGTGTCTGGGCGTGTGCAGTGGAACGCGTGGGACGGAGGCGGAAACCCTAAATATTTTTGTCTTTCTTAGTAGCCATAGAGATGAAGCCCTTGTGGCCAAGTCGGCGAGATTCCCAGTCTGCGAAGAGGCCGAATGAGAGCGCAAATGATTTGATGCTCATGAAGTTTCTGTGAGGATTCAGTGGAGTTTTCTATGTTGGGCTTGACCTGGTTGGGATTGCGGTGTAAAGACCTTCACCGGTTCTCCTTGATACGGCAATTGAAAAATTCAATGTGCGTGCATTCTGTATATGTGGTGTGATTTCGCGCAATTTGATGCCAGAGTTTTGGGGGTTAAGAAAGACAAAAATATTTTGGTCACAAGGGCTTAATGTATGGTGGTTATGGACGGTAATGATGTGAGGAGTGGTGTCTTGCATCGGATTTCAGGCCCAGCCCGGCGAGTCAAAGTACGGGCGTGGGGGCTGTTGGATGGTTTGGTGAGTGCAGTGCAATGCAAATGATGGGCATGGAGAGGGTGAGGAATAGTGGGTGGGCATGAGTTGGAGGCATGTCATGGATACGCAGGGCTGTGTTGCTTGGCGGAATGATGTAGGATCACGTGAATTGGAGGGGCAGGGTGTCGTAGATGTGGCAGCTTAGATGAATCGTAGTGTAGTGCGGTTTTTGGAGAGTGTAGAATTGTTGAGAGTTTGCCGGCCCGGGATCGAGTGATGAAGCGAGTTGGAAGTAGTGCTGGATGTACTGTATGCTGAGTAATATTGAATTGAAAGGTGACCACTTTCAATTAGCTTTAGGTAGACGAGGAGATTTGCGAGGGTCACTCTTCCTTGAGGCGAAAGGGGAAGAGAATAGGCCTGCATTTAGTTAGGATTTTGTGTGACCAGGATCGGTTATAGCTTTTCTATGTGCTGACAAGTATTGTTGTACTTACCTCACTTTGCAGCGTAGAGTTTGGAGCATTTTCGTAGCTCAGGATTTCTTATATTGTTCAGTTGTACGTGATTGAAGTAGGCGAATATAATTGTTTTTCATACAACCAGACAGTCTGTTAGAGTTGCGGGAATTATTTAAGTTTCTTTGTTCAAAGAAGGTACAGTAAATGAAGAAATTGGCAGACCCATTTTAACTTCACGAGACCTTCTTTTGCTAGATGATGCTTCACAAAATTCTATCTACGGTACCTGTAGTTTTGAATTTTACGCCTATTCTACTATAGTACAAGTTTGGTTTAAAATCTGATAATGTTAACCTCTTCGGCTGGAGGTGCAAAACGCATCTCGTCTGCTTGCTTTTTGTATCGATCCACACTGGAGTCCATAGCTCTGAGTGAGAAGAGTGACACATCTCGTTTACTATGCCGACCATCTCATACACAAACCAGCCTCAGATCCTGAGGCTTAAACGCATCAGGAGCTGACAACTCGCGGGAATCAGCCAGGCTACTTCCCTTGCTTTTTGGTTTCACGTCAGAAAGCATTTGCACGACATCCCGCATGGTTGGTCTGTCCACTGGCAAGTCGCTGGAACAGAGTAGCGCCACTCTGAGCACCAACATCACCTCCTGCTACCAGCCAAATCCCACCCTCATGTTTGAGCATGAACATGCGCAACAGAACCTAACCGAGTGGAATTTAAGAAGGAACTGTTAACGAAGTACAGGATAAAGTATGTGCTTTCTTACTTGGAGCGGAACACCAACCCCGCCCATCCTTGGGTCCAGCACGTCAATAACGCCATCTTTAGTCTGAATTTTGCGGCGCACCCATTGCACTATGTCAACCCCATCCCCAAACTCTGCTTCAATCGGTCTCTTACCTGTCAGTAGCTCCATGAGGACCACCCCGAAGCTGTAGATATCACTTTTCTCATTTACTTTCAGGGTGTAAGCGTATTCTGCGCAAGCAGTTCATGCACCACCCTAAATTAGTACTCCGGGACGTCGAGTCTCTACGCAACTTTACAATTCTGGTTGAGTGCACTACAGCTGGTAATCGTGAAGTTTACCAGGCGCAATGTAGCCGTATGAGCCTGCTATTGATGACATAGACTCGGATTTGCCAGTGTCTTGAAACAATTTTGCAAGCCCAAAGTCGGCAACATGAGCCTGGAAAGTTGAGTCTAGGAGAATATTGTTCGACTTGACGTCCCGATGGACTATAAGTGGGGAACAATCATGATGCAAGTAACAAAGACCATGGGCTGCTTGAACTGCGATGTTGTATCTGCACCCAACACAGAATTTTCGAGTCTAAGATGCAATTCCAAACCGAATTTCTGCATGAATCTGTAGCAGACTGATCTGGAGAAGATTTTAGGGCTGAGGGTCCTGTTTGCAGTACCTTGTTTCCCAATCCAGCTTCTCCGACCGTTCCTTGCTATGTAGGAGCTCGCCTAGGCTTCCATTAGGCATGTACTCGTAAATCAGAAGATTTGTTTCGTGGTTTGAGCAACATCCTAAAAGCCGCACAATATTTCTGTGACGAATCTTGCCTAGCGTTTGAATCTCTGCTGAGAATCCGTGGTCGTGTGCGGCACCCTTACCCTCCCCTGCAAGCCGCTTGACCGCCACGATCTGCCCGTTGGGCATAACCCCTTTATACACAGTTCCAGCTCCTCCCCTTCCAATGATATTCTCCTCGTCCAAGCAGTCTAGCACCTGCACAATTGACAGAACCGTTTACGCTAAAACTAGGTTGGCGATGCAAGGTGGATTCGGAGTTGGATTTGAAAATTATTTCCAATATAGTTGAAGCATCGAATTGAGAGGGACGTGTTAAGCACTGCACCTGCGAAGCTGTAAGGTCCAAGCGCGAAAACGCGGTTAGCTTCCACGGCCTTGTGGTGGATTCCCGTCGGAAATACTTGCATATGTGCCATCGGTACTTCCGAAAGAAGCAGCACATGCCCACAAGCAAAACGACCAAGGCAGCCGAAAACAACGCCCCAACCAGCCATGCCAACAAGTTGGTTCCCTTTCCTTTCCCATGATGGTCGACAGCGGGGCCAGCAGCAGATCCTTGGGAAGGACACGACGGCAAGAGACCACCGCATAGAAAGGGGTTGCCCTCAAAGGCAGACACATTGTAGGAATCAAAATGTGGAATTGGTCCTGAGAGGTTATTGTATGAGAAGTCGAATACGTTGAGCGTTTGAAGCATCTGCAATTGGGGAGGGATGTGTCCAGAGAGCTGGTTGTGCGACAGGTTCAAGAGGTAGAGGTCCGGGATGTACTCGATCTGAGGAGGAATTTCTCCAGTCAGACCGTTCCGGCTGAAGTCGAGAGATCCCAGCTTTTTGCAATTTGACATCTCCTGCGGAATGAGTCCTACATGGAAAAGCATTGACAACGACGATGAGGGCGATGAAAGGAGGAAACCCTTAAAACAAGAGGACAAAGGTAAAGAGTTATGCAAGTGGTTTGGAATGCGCTCTGACTGTGTACCTGTTAACTCGTTTCCGCTTAAATCAAGCTTGTTGAGGCTCTGCATGTCGCAGATCTGGGGCGGGATCGGACCCGAGAAATGGTTGTTGGCAATGAGGAACGACTGCAGGGTGGGGAGATTGCCAATGCTTTCTGGCAGCTTGCTCGAAAGGTTGTTGTTGGAGAAGTCAAGGTAGCTCAACTTAGGCGAGTCGATAATCTCCGATGGAATAGGTCCCATGATTTGGTTCATTTGAATCTCCACCATGGTGATGTTGGGCAAGCCAAGCAAACCCAACGGGATCGACCCATTCAGAAGATTGTTGCTGAGCCGGATCTTTTCAAGGCTCAAGCAGTTGCCGAAATTCTCTGGAATGGGCCCTGTGAGCTGGTTGTCTTTCAGAATCACCCATTGTAGCTTCTGTCCCGCACAGAGGTCGGATGGAATTGTGCCGTTTAGAAAGTTTGAAGAAAGGTCCAGAAGTGTTAGGTTCATGTTTTGCCCCAGCGCCTCTGGAATTGGCCCTGTTAGCTTGTTGGCCCACAAGTAAAGAACCTGAAGCACGAGTTAATTGAGTTAATTGGCGTTTAGAAGCTGAAGTTCAGCTAATAGAGGCTGGCGGGTACTCGAAATTACCTGCAAATTTGGCATGTCTCCAATAAAGTCCGGTATTTCCCCTTCGAAGTTGTTGCTCATCAAACTTAGAAGCTCCAATTTCTGTAGGTAGATGAGAGCTGGGGGTATGATTCCACTTAAATTGTTGTACGAGAGGTCCAGCGAAACGAGATTCACAAGGTTCCCGATCTGCACTGGGATGACACCTACGAGTTCATTGAGCTGCAGGAACATGGAGTCGAGATTGCCGAGGTTACCAAGCTCAGGTGGAATGGTGCCAGTTAAGCCACATCGACCCATGTCAAGGCGCACTAAGCTGGTTAGGTTTCCGAAGGTGGCTGGAATTCCTGAGCTGTAATTGTTGAAGTAGCCCATGTAGAGCTCTTGCAGTGCTGTCACCAGCAAACAGTATACACGCCTGGTGAGATATGGGCAAATGAACACAATTACATTGGTTGTGAGGAAATCGGTTGCTGACTTAAGTATGATAGTAAGTAAGTCCAGTACCTTGAAGTTTGCCAAGTTCAGGAGGAATTGGTCCGGTAAGTGAGTTGCCATTGAGGCCCAAGTACTTGAGAGCTGGGAAAGATCCATACTGAGAAGGAATGCTTCCTTCAAAATAATTTCCTCCAAGACTTAAGTGCTCAAGGGTGGCAATGATCCAGAGATCATCCGGAAGTGATCCTGAGAAATCGTTGTTGAAGCAGTCCAGCACCTACAAAGTTTCAAGAGGCGTGTGCATTACTTCCTGTGTTGGAACCACAATTTACAAACTCAGCTTATTTCACAGGGGGAGATTTGAGGGCAAAAGGGGGTGTGTTCAGAATAACACTGAGTTATACCTTAAGTGACTGAAGCCGCGAAACATTGGCAGGGAAGGCACCATTAAAACGATTGTTAGAGATGTTCACGTATTGCAGCATGAGGAGAGTTACAATTTCCGCCGGCAGCACGCCTGTGAAGTTGTTCAGGTCTAGAGAGATATTCACCAAGTTCTTAAGACGCCCCAAATCAGCGGGCAACGTCCCTGTGAGGTTCATGTTTGACAAGTTCAGCCCCACAACAGACGAGGCGTTGCTGCATGTAATGCCAGTCCACAGGCAGGGCGTAGCTGTACCGTTGAGCTTCCAGTTCTCAAGATGGTTCTGGGGATCTGCGAAGCTGGATTTCATCGCCAGAAGTGCGAGACCCTCTTCCGGAAGGGGGTCACTGGCAACCAACTCCATAGTTCGAGACAACACAAGAATGCACACGATGAAGGCAGAGACTATATGGAAGTTGCGTCTCTCCATCTTCACCATTCTTGCTTCTGGTAGCGCCATCCTCAAGCTCTGTTTCTGCATTATAAGGCTCAGATGCTCTGCATTGTACCGGTAGCCTGCGACCTGAAGGAATCCTCAACCTTGCTGAAGGCTGCTAGCCACATCAGAAGGTGATGCCACACCGAAACTGTTGTTATCTTGGTGATGCCAAATCAGTTTTTTGTCAATGTCGAATAGGAGATGGCTTTCCTTGGTGAATCCTCCACGTGAAAGGTACAACCGTCTTTTGGGGCAATACAGAGTCGCAATGATCAACCTGCTCGGAGAAGCCAGTGCTGTGAGTCCCACCTGAAAAAAAACCACCAGACATGGCGATTGAATAATCGAACTGTCTCGTATACGGTGGTGAGACCCCACCACTAGAATGACACAACGCTCCTGTGCAAGAGAGAGAGAGAGAGAGAGAGAGAGAGACCAGTGAGTGGGAGGCGATGTGGGGCCGCTATCTAAAAGCTTCCAGTCCTCCCACAACAAAAAAAATGCTGCATTGACAGATACCGATAGTTGTAAACCACGCGTGGCACACTCAACAGCACTGCGACGATTGAGTTTTCTGACAATGAAGTCTGTGTAAGAAATCATGTGTTACTGCGAAGTGTGCTATACTTTTCAGTATGCACTGTGGAAAAGCTCGACAGTGCCGCGACGTTCTAAAAGTGAATCTTCCTCGACCCAACCTCTCGACTGCTGAAACCTTTGCTAATCACCGCACCAGATGCGTAGTTTGCAGTAACAGCTATCATACACGAGGAAACGGCCAGGCAGCAAGGAGACTAACAGGCGTTATGTTGACGGCTACTCTCTACAAAACGCGGAGTGTTTTTATCCTCGGGCAACACCATCTCACCGGACGTTTTCACTCGCTCATAGGAAAGAGAATACATCAAACACAATAGCCATTGTCAACTGATCCTTGGTATGTAAATCAGCTACCATCCGCCTGATTCAAGCCCTTCAAGCAGCAAACTCAGCACAGGAATGATAGTGCACTCACCTTTGCCAACCTGCCGAGCTACGACAGCCAAGGCTTGTTAATCTCTGCGTGCAGCGCCTCTCAATTACCACCCCTAGACACCTCTAAGCTCCGTCTCACGCCCCCTCTTTGCAAGCTTATGCTATGAATCGCAAGCTCTCAAAAACTGACATTGGAAAACCCCTACTGAAGCTCAGTCGATTCCAGCAACATGTACCTCTCAAACACTCTGCACTTCCATGGCAAAGTGCAGGAAAACCAGTTCCACAACAACCATAAACGTAGCGTTTTCCTCACCTCATTTCCTCACAAATGCTGAAACTATGCAGAGGGGGACTAAACACAGAGAAATCGCAAGCCATGTCACGTTAAAAGGGTTGAAAACGTCTTCGTGCAGAAACAAGTGAGCAAAATATAAAATACAAAAATCAACAGAGGAAAGGAGGAGAGTATCTTCAGCGGCGGGAAGTGTTCGAGGCTGGTGGACTGTCACTCACCTCCAGAGCCAACTCAGAGCATTCATGGACGAGCTGGGGTCAAATCATAGCCTGTAAATGCTAATTAAGACGTTCATGTCGAAGTAAGACCCACGTAATTATCCATCCCTCTTAAGCGTGACAAAGAACCTCTGCCTTTCCGCTTTTGTGACTTCGAATTCCTCACGCCATCGTGGACTCCACCGCCTCTCGCTCGCTCTCTCTCTCCTCAGCATGTTTTGCTGCAATCGTGAAACTCTGCTTTTTGAGTTTTTATCTTGTAATTTTTTTATTTATTTTCCTGCTGCTGCTGCTGCTTTGGAGGGCTCTTGACTTGTCAAGCAATTCCTCCCACAAGGTTGAATGACATTCAAAGGTCAATCTGTGTCTGTGTCTGAGTCTGCTTGAAGCTGTGCTCTTGCACTCTGCAACACACACACACATCACCAAGTCATAGTTTACAAATTTCAGTGCTCTGACATCATCAGACTAAAGTGTTTTGTAATAGGCAGCAGCACAGAGTGAGTATTTAGCTGGGACTGGGATTAAGTGAAGATTGACTGTGTCCCTCATTCTTCTTGGAGTTCAAATTTACATAAGGTTTGTATATGTCTTCAAATTGCTGTGTATTGGTTTATTTTTATTTTCTTTTCTTTTCTGAGTTCTCAATTTATGTCTTAGGATAAGATATATTTTTTTCATTATTATTGTTATTATCATTTAATTTATCAGTATCAAGACAAAAACTTATCAGGATTACAAGCCCACATGAGGAGAGATGTTAATACCATTTGTTTAGGGTTTGGCTCTTATACATAGGGCATGGTGAAAGAAAAGAGACATGCATGCATGTAAGCATATAAATAAAACTTGTGAATGATAGGAAAAAAATACATCTATATATATATATATATATCTGGTTTGGTTTAGAAATTAGTACTGGAAATGAGTTGTTAAAAAATTGCAACTTTATTTATTTTACAACTTTAATATATTTAACATTGAAGTAAGAAAATTTATGAACGTATATTAAAAAATATGAGATAATGGGTTCATGTATTTATTGATTGTACAAAACCCTTGAAAATCCGAATTTTTAAAACTTTATCTATTAAAACATATTGAAATCTAGTCAAAAACTAATTTTAATAAGTATAATTTTAAAATACTCTTGAAATATTTTAATTAAAAATTATAAAAACTACTGTAATAATAAATTAGTTTAAGAATTGACCAGAAATTTGCAATCGGACAGACCTTTGAGTACTTTGCATTTCTCAATTATCTCAATTTTACAAATAGAAGCTATTCAAGTTAGATTAAGCTTATCAGCCTCTGACCACTACCGTGCAGCAACAGTGCAAAGGGTTTGGTTTTAAAATCAAAATTTCTCAATTTAATCTAAAATCATGAAAAGTATATATTTACAGATTTAATTGTATATAAAGTCTGATGGTTAGATTTGGGTTTTGGTTATTCTCTTGGATCCCATTATATCTCAAACACGGTTATAGCTTACTATTGTAGATGTATTTCATCAATAAGATTGTTATTGGAGTTTGACACATATATATATATATATATATATATATATATATGTGTGTATGTAAATTTAATACTTTTCCCATCTTCATAGTTAACTAAATCTATGATTGAAACAAGAATGTCAAAAAGTCTTAGTTTCCATCTCTAAAATCTAATCACCAAATAAATGAAAAAAATGATTTACCTTAATACACTTTGAGAAATCACAATAAACAGATCCAAGTTGTTTGTTGATTAGTTGCAAGTACAGTAAAGATGACAAAACAAACCATATTAAATCTACAAATGAAAATTTTAGAAGTCAATCAAAAATCCAATTTTTTTGAGTGTAAACAAAATTTAGGCAGGTTATCTTTTGGAGGTTTTATGAATAACCATTGAAGCCAGATTAGATTTTTAAAAGAATGAAGTAGATTTCTATTACAAGCCATTCTTTTTTGCTGCATTGGAAAGAAACATACTTTACATTGAAGTAAGAACAAGTAGGGTTTTAATTAACAAAAAGAGAAATAAGCATTTCAATGTCTTGAAGACATTAGTACCTTTTAACTTTTTTTTAAAAAATAAACTCGTACGTGTATAGAGTGTGGAGTAGCTTAGTATGTTTTTTTCCTTTCCAATTCTCTTTCAATATAATATTTATTTATGTGGCCACAAAGTCAAGAATTTACAATTGGGGTTGAAACCCTCAATCTATGTGATGGATTAATGAGCCAAACTTTGCTAATTTCATATCATTTTGGGCTAATTCTTGTTGAGGCTTTTCAACATTCAATCAGAGCTTGCAAAATGCAGATCACTATGAAAAAAAACCTACAAATTTGCGCTACTCAAAAGAAAAAAAACATAGAGAAAAAAAGAGAAAAATGAGATACATTCATCCAAAAAGAAAGAAAAAGAAAGGGAAGAGGGCCATATTGATGAGGTGGTGGGCCAAGTAATTGTATTATATCTGCAGGTTCTGTATCTACCACCATTACTCGTCTTCTTCATTCATTCTGTGTTTATATGTTTGTTTTGCTGTAGAAAACGAGAATGCAAAAACAGCCTCTCATTCATCTCCAACTTGTGGGCATCAGTCACAAGCCTGCCATTCTTCTGATGGGACACACTCACACTCACATGGGGATTTATATATATATATATATACACACTCAATATTAATATCTGCAAATCTGTGCTTCTAGATCAATAGCTTCCATTGGATGCTTGTTATTCTCCCATCTTCATACCACATGTCTTTGAAAAAGAAAAGGTCAACCACGCAAAGGATTGGGTCAACTGTTCAACCTTTGCAGGGGTGCAGGTCAAGTTGGCAACAACAACGTTAGTTTAACTATATGAAAAAATGGATTGTCAAAAAATAGCAATAGAAAAAAGCAGAAACAAACAGACAGTAGAACAATAGGAATTAAAGAGGTAATTAAGTGAAGTTGGATTTATGAGTTTAGCAAAATTGACAAAGATTTCTGACATACAGAATGGCCATTGAATGAATTTGGGGCATTGACGAGGCCAAAGGTGGAAATGGGATTCATTCATTATTGAATGAATGGACCATTCTCTCTCTCTCTCTCTCTCTCACTGTCTCTCCTTTTGTCTTTACTCTCTGGCCAATAGCAAGTGTGTGTGTGTGTTTACCTGCAGCTGAATCATGGTGCCCATTTGTGCAGAAGAAGAAGAAGAAGAAAAATAAGTGAGACATTCCAATGTAGTTTCGAATATATATAAAGAAACAAATCAAGAAAGAGAACAAACACAAAAACAAAACAAAAACCCTGATTTGTTAGGATGTTGTAATACCAAATACCAAAGGGAATGAATATTTGACCCACTTTCTAAGGTCATGAGCCCGGCTCCTGTTTATACATGGTCTTTTGAAACCATTCAAGGAAACCTATTACTACTTTCGTTTAGACAGGAAGCAAGCACCATGTCTGCGAATGTGGCATATTTTCATGAAGTGCAATTGGGTTCCTTTTTCAATCACATTTTTTAATGGAAAATTATTGAATCAAAGCGATTGCTGTTTAATTTCTTTAAAAAACTAGATTTTTTGTTTGTTTGTTTGTTTGTTTTTTTTTCGGGTCCAGCCCCAACAGCAGAGCAGCTGGGGCGGTGCCCAGACACAAAATCTTTCTGTCAGCCCAAGGCAGGGAGGGGCAGGGGCAGCAGGGGGGGGAGGCAGTAGTTGCTTTGCAATGGGGCTATATGAAGACCCAGCCGTCACATAATATCTGTGCCACCCAACACCCCCACTGCCCGGCCCCAAAATTTCTGGGATTACATCGCCACAAGCAGTTCTCCAGTAGTACTGCCGTACCCACCACAGCCCTTCTCACATTCAAAATGCCACACACACACTCTCCCTTTCCTTTTCGCTTTTTTTTTACTTTGTTTTTGGGTGCCCGAATGTAGCGTTCTGTTTAAAAAAGATGAAGCATGTGTGGTTTCAAGGTGTTCAAAGCCTGCCCCCACCTGCCCCCCTGCCCGCCTTCCTGCCCGCCTTCCCCTGACTCTGACATTGGGAACGGTGCTGTTCGCGCTGACAGAACAGCATGGCGTTCAGAACGCTAGGATTGTGCACAATCGCTTTTGGGATCGATTCCTGTGCCGAGCAGTATTATCAACGAGGGAGCGTGCCAGTGGGCTTGCTTCCCTGTTGTATGTGCCCTCCCTCCCCCCCAGTTGTTGTTTTGGTTAATAATACCCCCCTATTCACACTCTCTCGCTCTCTCGCTCTCTCGCTCGCACCAATTGCCCAACCTCTAAGTTTAGGTCAAATGCTGTGTCTGTCATAGTTCTAGAAAGCTCGCCGCACTATGGCCTTTGTGCTGACGTGGAGAACCTGTTCCCAGTGGGTTCCCATCTCCGTTCAGTGTACTGCCTCATAATATAAGATCATACGACTTAGTATTGAATCTCGTAAGGATTTGAGGCCATAATGTGTTTAGAGTAGCCTTAGGGTCTATGTATGATGTTCGGAGTGAAAAGGGTTTCAGCTCAAAAAAATCATTTAGTATTATGGGTTTGGTTCATTGCAATATATATAGACTTGGTGGTAATTCAAAATTGGTAAATATATATGTATATATTTGTTGATTATGTGTCTTTTCAATCATGTTGAAAGAGTAACTAAGGTACATAATGAATAAGAATAAGATGTCCAATTTTGACACTGGAAGAAGCGTCTTTGTTGATTATGAAGTGTGTTGTGCATAACATGTGGTATTTTGTTTGTTCTATGCAATGCTTGAACATGTAACATTGTGCAAGATGAATAAGGTATGGTGCACTTTCATGCAAGTGAAAATAGATGGAAAAAAAACACCACAACCACCATATTTCTTTACATAGCCATATTGGTCCTTATAGGTCCTTTAATTAAAAATACTTCTTTGAAGTTTTAAAGAAGTAATGGTTCAAAGATGAAACAAAGGTAACTGTAAGCTCTTCTAGCTTTTAGAAACCCTTATGACATTTTTGTAGTTTAATGATCTTATTTTATCTAAAATTTAATGCACATGTTGTTGATTATAATAACTTGTGATATTTTTTCTATTTTTTTCTATTTTTTTAAATTTTTTTTTGTCTTTTATTCAGTTAGTGTAAAATTATATAACAAAAAGCTATATCCAAAAATTGCTATATGTATTTTTTTGTCAATCAAATTTTAATTATGTAATTTCTATAGTAAAATACATAATTAACATTTGATGGACAATAAAATTTCAACATGCATGCATATATATATATATATATATATAGTACTGCTAATGCCACCATGGTTTTTGCTACTACCACCACAATTTGCCATCTACCACATGCTATTATAGTTTTTGCTACTACCATAACAACTTGCTATCCATTCAATATATTTCTTTAATGTTTTTATTTCCATTAAAAATTCTATCAATATTTTTTATATGTTACTTTTCTTTGAATTATATAGAAAGGAAATTTAAATTTAATAAAAATAATAAAAACTATAATAAAAACAAGTTTTTAAATATTTTTTTTAGTTTGAAAAATGTTGTTCTAAAAAATACTAAAAATAAATAAAAATATATTTATTTATTATTAAAAAATAGTTTTAAATATATATATATATATATATATATATACTTTTTATATTTAGCATTGACAAACCATGTAAGTGGCATGTGGTGGATAGTGGGTTGTGGTGACAATAGCAAAGATTGTAAAGGAATGTGGATGATGTCAAATTATGGTGGCATTAGCAATATTCTTTATATATATATATATATATATATACAGTATTAAAATTTTATTCAAAACTAATTTTTTTATATCAAGGATAGATCGTTCCAACATTTACTAAGACTTGATTAGAAATCGTGAATTTTTTGTATTAAGATTGTAATAAAATAAGTATATAAAACCAATACATCTTGTATTCAATATAACCAAAACAATTTAATACAAATTCATGCACATGTTGTGTAAACAATAACAAAGTATTCAAACTTTTTTTGGATTATATTTACTTATCTATAAATGATAAAATTCAACAAATAGTAGATGATTTTTTGACAACCTTATGCATGCAAAAATATTGTTGCCTTTTCAAAAATTCAAATATAATTTTCTTTTAGTATAAAGATGATTTTTTTAATGAAATAATTCAAATATAATTCCACTAAAAAAATTATTTTTCTACAGATATATAAGTATACAAAGAATATTGAGCAATTAAAGTAACATAAATTAACAAAAAAATCACCAAATAGCACAAATTAAACAAGAAATGTTTTTTTGCATTGTGAGAACATCTACTTTGTTACAAAGTAAATATTTTAGAGCTACTCTAAAATCAGAGTTATAGGACACAAATTCAAGAATTAAAAAATCTAAAAATCAAAATTAACGTGACAAAAGGATTTTTACAAACAGTTTCACATTGTTACCTCACACCAAACCTTCCAAATGTGAAAAGAAAAAAAAAAAAAAACGTTGGGCAGTCCAAAAAATCATACATTCAAATTCTGATCCAGGTCAGAAGGAATGGAAAGAAAAGAAATTTAAAAGCGACCCACCAGAGAATGGAACCTTTGAAAAATTAGTTCAGAGAAGTCTCATTCGTGTTTAACGCGAGCTCGATTGAAACGCAGGAATTAGTAGGGATTCCATCACCCAACCCAAAGTCTACAAGGGTTGACTTTGCACCAAAAAAAAAAAAAAAAAAAAAAAAAAAAAACGAAGTCAAAGGGGCCTGTTTGTGGGGGTGTACTAAGTGTTGCAGTGGACTTCCATGGAGATAACATGACATTGCCCCATTCATGTGAAGGACATGTGCAGCCTAATTCTTAGCAACCCCAACCACAGAATCACTGGCAATCAATTAGAGTCTCCACCACACCACACAGCACTCTCAACATCATAGCAACCAAAACCCTTTGCAGCATTTAACAAGCTGCAATAAAGCAAAACCCAGGCTAAGCATAAGGAAAGGCAGTAAAAAACCCAATAAAATAAAACCAACAAGCTCGCCTGGCGTGTTCACAAGACGACATGCACAGTATCCTCTGAATTAATTACAGATAGACAGTCCCTCTCAACAAAAGCGGAGAGATTGCAACATCTACCACTCTCTGAGGTACTTTGCTGTTTTGACGCTTTTTTTTTTTTTTTTTTTTTTTTTTTTCCTGCAGTGGATGGCTGGTGGGGTGTCATTTCATGGTACTCCAATCTTAGTTGATCTCATGGTGATGTAGTCGTTAGCGAGAGGGAGTACTTTGGTTTTGTAGTTTTAGACCAAGTGATTTATCTCAGTTTTGTTTGGAAGCCTTTGTCTTCGCGGTGCGCAGCTGTGAACTGTCGGTTCTAGGCAGAGTTTTTGTGCGGTGGTGGTTTTATTTTCATGTTTGAGTAACTCCCACGTAATTTCCTACAGTTCTGTTGAAATGAGGCGCAATAGTAAAAAGAAAATGAAGTATACTTACCTTTCGGATTCCTGCACGCTTGTTTCTTAGATTTAGCTAAGATAATTAACATTAACCAATAGTTGCCAACCAGTTTCAAGACGTGTTTTTGGGAAACATCGAGACTTCTGGAAAAGCTTGTGGAAGATCTGGCAGAACTTATAGCATCTCTGTCCTCTTCTTCCTTCATCTTCGATCTGCGTGTCTTCAGCCCTGCAGTTCAGTAAACATACCATAGCAATGGTGAAACTAGGTCAACTGACTCTAATGTTGTTGAAAGTCAAGGACCGCTGTTGCTCCAATAGAGATTTGACAGGCTGGTGCAGCACCTGTTCTGGCGAAGATGTACTAATACTCAGTACTTTGGAGAGGGTTATGATGAAGAGAAGATGTCCAACTGGAGTATGAAACATGTTTATATTTCACCACTAAACGTTGCACAATATTCAGGAAATGTGTACAAAGGACAATAAAATAGGTGTACAATTCAATTAGGTCACATGAAACTGGTCATGAACATTAGTGACATCTCTAAATGCTTATCTTGGAAGTCCATTAGAGAGTGAGGTTGCCCAATAGCTGAACAAACTGGACCCTGAAAGCATTCTGACGAGCTCGTTCTCGGAATTGCATATTCTTGAGGCAATAATTTCCTCAGCGAATCAGATATGCTTGTACATTAGCATTTACATTCGTTCGAAGAACTCCTTGGCTCAAAGACCCCGCTTCTCTAACATATGTTCCACGTAAGGACTTGTAAACCTTTTGACAGTCTATTCAGAGTTTTGACACGAATAAACAAATGGCCAGTGCTTCTGAAGATAGTGACAAATCCACATGGTGCAAGTACAACACAACCAACTCTTATCTATAGGCTAAAAACTAAGACACCAATAGTGAGTCCAACGAACATGAAATAAAAAGATAGGTTGAAGATATAGGCAAAAGAATCTGTACTTACACGAAACAGGAAGCTTCATTATTCAAACTTTGAATTCAATAAATACGAATGCCATCACTATTATCATATGCTTTGTCTAAATTAGCACTTCAACCGCACTGATGTCTCGTAAGGACTTAACGAAATTTGTGAGGATCTGTCAAACTGCGGCACAATGTTTCACCGATGAGCGAAACCCTGGGCAGCTATCTGACATCATTGCGACGAAGACATGTTACACTTTGATTCTGACCACGAAAGCACCTACAAAAACGCAATCAACCACAAATGTTCAGGATCTGTCATGCATGCCTGCGATAAACATTTAAGAACTTGTTTTTCTTACAGATTACTCGAAAGTAGATCACTCAAACATTTATAAAGTGATCTCGACGTGCAACTTAACCTTCACATGGCCTATAAATATAACGAGAGTTTTGTTTTTCGGTTCACAACCATAATGCAGCAGAGTTCTATTACTTGAATGATTTTACTTTAAAGTCCTCTTTCTAGAATCATAATATTAAACTTAAATGCTGGCAATGTGGCAATTTCAGCAGAGACTTCAGCGGGCTCACCTAAGTTGGTCAAAGCACCACAAATGAGACCACAAGGGAAGTGCAGGTATTGCCCTGCAGCATTTGAGGCACGCCCAGCATTATCAGCCACTGGTGACTCATGTTGGGATCCAGCGAGAGGATGCGCGTATATAGATACACAAGTAAGCCATCTATGATGATTACTTTGAAATACGAACACACCCCACACAGCAAGTGTATCACCGGTAACAGAAAATAAAGTTTTAAAGACCCTTAAAACAGCTTGTCAACCCGTTTTATAAATCTCAATCTGTAATGTTTTAAAATCGTGGTTCAGATTGCATCTAGATGGATAAGGGAATGGCTAAAACAATGTAACAGTAAGGATGACTACCAATCAACAGGATACAAGCCTAGAATCTGGTGGAAACAAACCTTATGGTATGTTATCAGGTTGTCGACCTGCTTTTTATAAACCGCCGTCCAAAATTCCTTGTAAATGAATTTGATACTTTCCAGATGCTCACTCAACCATGGCTGTTCTCTTGTGCACCTTCACAAAACAAGAGTTCTGATTAACAGCTACATGCTCAGGACAGCAGTTATAAATTGCTCATAAAACAGTAAGAACTTCAATCGAAACCCTAATACCAAACAGTGTAATAGAAACCACACAGCCAAAACTCACTGTGCAGAAGACCATTTTAATCCAATCCAATCCAAATCTTGTGGAAGGATGTACTTATAGGCAGAATTACATGTCCAGCCTTTCTCTCCTCAAACGTCTTGGCATCACTGTGAACATCCTAACCAATGCAAGGACTTTACATAATGCGATCGAAAACATACACAATCATCCAGCAACCACCTGGCCACAACCTAAACCCAGGTCCGAATTCCCCACTCTACACTCGGTTACGGAGCACAGGGAGGATTGTAACCCGTGTACACTATCAAACAAAGGTATGCAAGAGAATATACACATACCTTTCAGCCACCTTCAGCCAGCTGAAAATCCAACTCGGTAGCAGACTGTTTCAATGATTGGACCAGCCAGATAGGGTTGGGTCCGATGCCATCGCTTCCAATGTGTTGCCACAAGCTCCACCTTCAGGCTGTCCACACAAACTCTCCACCACTTTCCTCGCGCCTCAACATTGTACCCAAACTCCCCGTCGCCTCGATTCAACTGCCACATTTCAAAACATGTACTGCGAATCCGACTCGCAACTCTGTATTCAGCTGCTTCATCCTCAATGCAAATGGCTTCTCCACGTATCCTGACGGATGGAGCTGGCTGAGCTAGCCAAAACCCACACTAACCCAGCCCTAAACATTGTGGTTGCAGAAAAAAAACCAGCTCCGGAGCTGAGGCATCGAAGAGCAAGCCCAGGCCTAGGGGACAAATTCCTCGGCTGATCACGGTGGGTGGATCATGCTGTTAAGTCGATGTCGGTAAAAGATGAAACGACAGCCATTCAATTCAAAGTTGCCTTGGAAGTTGCGGACACGGCAGATCTATTCTTTTTTTCTTATATATATATATATATATATCTATATACATATATCTATATATATTTATTGATATCCAGGTGTCAATGTATATAAATGTATCATTCGACCCATGTTGTGAACTGGAGTATTACATATTGGACAAATTTATAGTCTTTACATGTATATGTAATTATAATCTAGTGAAAATTGCTATGAACATATATAGAATTGGTGGATTTTAAATTGCATGTTAATGTCAGCTCACGAAGTATTAAGTTACAACTTTTTTGAAGTTTCAAGTTGTTTAGAGATAGAGCCTTTGCAGGCTTATATGAAGCAATTAGATGAAGTAGAATTAGTATTAATTTTATTTAATATTATTATGTTTTACTTGCACAAATTTTTAGAACTTATAACAAGAAATGGAGAAAATAAATCTTTCTTTATTTATGTAATAAAAAATAGATTTATTCATTTTAAGTGTTTTTTCTTCTTTCTCAATTGTACATGAGTGTGTTTTCTTTTGAAAATTTTATTTACACTTATACCCTTGACAATATAAGGTCATTGCACATCAACATCAAAAAAATTATCAGCTAGAAGGTCTTATATTCAACCTTAATCATAACCAACATACATTTTATTGATTAATGAATTAGAATATGCCACAAGTAATATTTTTTGTATCATATATATTTTATAGGCAAACTATTTATACATTTATTTGCTTATTTTATAATACTACAGAAAAAAGATTCATAAAGGCAAGTTGTATTAAAAAATGGAGCTTCTAAATGTATCTCTTCATGAAATCCTATTTACTACTTAAGTGAACTGTAAATGCTCGTCCCAACAAGATTTATCTCCACTACTTTATATTGTACACATAAATTTCAAAATACACAAATGCAAAAGGGTTGTTTCAGGTTTTGCTAAAATTTGACAGTAAATTTCACATTGTTGACATCAACGAAACCTTTGTATATGCAATCAGGTTTTGCAATATATTAGTAGGAGAATTTTAAATTGTTATTATTCCATAGAAACTGTTACATATTATTTAGCACTATTTTTTAAATTAAGAATATTTTAAAATAATTATAATTCAAATCATGTTCCTTTTTTTCACAACGAAATTATTTTGAATAGCTTAGTCTTTTATCTAATTATCAACATATAAAAATTTATAAGAATAGATGCCTAAAATTCAAACAAAACTTCCACAAATTCTATTAATTTAATCCATAAATAAATCACAATACAAAGAGCCATTTTTTTTTAAAAGCCGAATATAAAAATGAAAAAAGCTTGGATGTTTGTAGACGGTTAACAGTATAAAACTCATAAAATTAAAGATGGATAAATGTAAATCATACATCTGGATGTATTTTTATATTTTTTTTTATATTTTTTTTCCTTCTACCATTTCATGTTTTTTTAAAAAAAATCGGCAACCTTTAACAAAGCTCTTGAAATAGTTTCAGAATTGTGAGTGAGCTCAATACCAATTAATTATGTATTCTCATCATTAAGACCATATCAAGCTTGAGATCGAAATACTCTGAATGAAGGAGCACAGGAAGACCGCTCCACCGAGATGCCCCAAGACTCCCCCACAGAGACACCCCCTCCAAGACCCCCACCCCACCCAGACAGGGCGGAGGTAATTAAAGTCCAGTTTGGAATCTGCCACGTGGCCTCCATGCTCTGCATCATGAAAATGAAGTAGTGATCCCCTCCTGCCCCCCCCCGCTCGGCGCCTGTGACCGTGCCGTATGCCCCAGCACCCACCACCCACTCAGCTCGACACGCACAGCAGGAGTAGGAACAGGAGCAGAAGTAGCACCAGAGCGGGGGGGGGAGGGGGGGATGTGTGTGGGGCATGATTGATAGGGGGCTCTGCCTACGAAGAAGAAACAGAGCCAGGCACAGTGAAGGGGGAGTAGTGAATGGCTACAGTCATAGTTGCATGCCCCATCTCCACGCCCCGGAGGACTCCCACCACCCCACCTCCACCCTTCCTCTGGGCCGCCCTTTGGCTGCGAGGGCGGTGGTGCCGGGGAGGGAGAGGGAGAGCCGTGATGAGGCTTGGGGAGTCGAGGTTGGTGGCGAGCCTGGCAGATCGGTCGCGGGAGGCTTCATGGGCATGCATATGGCATCTGGCGCTCTCCGCTTCTCGCAGATAGATAGGAAGCGTAGCAGCAGCAGAGGAAGCAAGGACGGAGGAAGGATCTTCGACTGGTCTCGTCCCTGGGCGACGCTCCATCTGGCTACCGACGGAAACGCCGGTTCCGCTAGGGGCCCATGACGACGACGCCCTGCTGCCCCCTCGGCCCAGCGCGCAGGTATCCCATTCCATCCTTCTCCACTCGACACCTAACCTCCGTAGCTTCCAGGTCGCCCTTTGCGTGACTGCAGTGCTGTTCTGCGAGGGTTTTTATCTCTTTCTGCCCTTAATTTATTATATTCTCGGCTTGGCGCCACGATCTTTGGGAGCCCTCGTTTTCATGCAGTCGAATGCGGGATAAACCGCAATTCTGTAGGTGCAGTCGGTGCGGCTTTGTGCGGCTTTTCGCGGTTGGACGGGACGGAAGCTGGTTAAGTGTCTGTATATTGAAGCGGTGGATCTTAAACCCTAGGTTGGCGGTGGGTTTTTTGTTGCCGTTTCTTAGAGGTTCTCGAGAGCATTTTCGCGAAGCGGCGAGTATGATTTGAGGATGAGCGGTTTTGTTTCTGGATTGAGGGTTCTGTCGCGTTCTTGCTGAAGCGAACCTCAATTGAACACTCGTGGGAGAGGGTGTCGTCGTTAATCCTGGCCTTCAGAATGATGGAGTGTTGTAAGCTGCGTGATGAAGTTGTTATAGGGGGGTAGAGTGAAGAGGTCGTAGAGCAGGTTTACGCTGACCAGCGGTGGGCTAGGAAGGAAGTGGTTGCTGAAATTTGAGGAGCCGTGGTGATGTCGCTGGAGGAAGGGAGGGCCGAGGTAGGGGGGGGTTTGAGTGAGGGCGAGGGAGAGTTGTTGCATCATCTTTGCTGCAGTTCGTAGGAGTGTTGTCGTCAGATGTTCTTGCCATTTGTTTGCCGCCTTTAGGTCCGCGACGGTGTCAAGAATTCGGTGCTGAGATCGCAGGATGTAGCGCATGGTAGCATTGCGTTGAGGTCACGGGTTACAAGGGCCTCACACCGCTGGAACTCATTTTTGAGCTCTGTCGAATCTTGTGCATGCGTGCGTAGCAACCGAGCTGTGCATGTCAGCGTTTATGTGTGGAGAATTAGTTTTGTCGGTGCCGGATTCGTTAGCATGACGACTTTTCTGACATGAACTGTGGATTTGTGTGTAGGTGTGAGCGATTGGAAGTCGGAGATGATTATTAGTCGACAGCATGAGACATTTCGCAGCTTGGATGCGCTCAGGGGAGTTTTAAAGGACGCCGGTTGGTCAGATGTGCTTCGCTTGCTGTCTGAGATGAACATATACATGGAGAGCTTCAACGTGCTTTGTACCGAGGGCCCCCCATATCGCATACAAGGCGGGATGAGGGACATCGGCTTACACTTGGGCAATTGGAGACTGGGCATTCACGAGGACCAATCGGATGATCATTTGGTGAATGTGGATTCAGGTGGGGAAAGTGAGACAGAAAAGCCAAGTTTCTTCGATGATGACGACTGTCCTCCTTCAGCTAGTGTGACCACTAGCGAATTCTCTGTTACAGTCGGTTTACCAAGGAGGTTTGGTAACCCTTTGGTTTCAGAGGAAGGATTAGAATCACAAGAAGCTGAAGTGAGTCGGACACCTGCCGGTACTGACCCGTCTTCTGAGTGTACCATGAAGACTAGCATACGAGAAATATCGAGGAAGGTTGCTGTGAACGAGAGTGCGCTTTGCACTGCAATTGATAGCCTTGGAGGAGGTGTGAAAGGGCTCAAAGCTGTGGTTGATTTCGTGAAGCATTTTCAGGAAAGTGGGGTCCCAGTTGCTGGTGATGTAAACACAGATTCTTTCACCCGAGGCTTGGAGCAGTTCTGCCTAGTTAATGGTCAGGCGAAGGAAGGCGCAGTAGTTCCAAGTCTAGAAAATATGTCCCAGGATCGAGGGCTTTCAGGTACTGCAGAGTCGGAAACACAGCAGACTGGCGGTGTAGCTGCGGACCAAAATCGGCTTATTGTACCGAACTTGCCAATTCGAGGACAGTACGAGTGGACTCGCAATGCTCCTAACGGGGATATTTATACAATGGGGTATATGGAGAATATGAGTGGTTATTTCCCGAACTTCTGTTACCCGTATCCTCCCCCCTTCGCAGGTTATGGGCCATTTAACTTAGGTGTGCGACCAATGTTCATGCCGATGATGGGAGTTCCTTACTTCACCCCTCCCTCGCTCGAGTACATGCATAGCTCTGATGCCATCACGAGAGCATCTCGCAAGAGCCGAATAGCCAAGCGCAGGGTGCACGGAAACGATCAAAATCAACCACGCTTGACGATTAAAGCTGCTGCAGTCGGTGGTGCTCCCGTACAAATTGGGAGACAGGATAATCTGGGTCATCAGAGTGTAGCAGCTCCTTCTGCTAAACAGGTATGAGTTCTTTCTTTCTTTCTTTCTTTATATCGATTTGATCAAAATTTGGTTTCCTTCACAAGTATGGATGTTTTGGCTTATTTAGTGGACGTTATTTTGTTTCATGTTCTTGCTGCGCACTGTCACGAGACGGTTTGTCACAGGAAAGGGGGATGTTATAAAGGTTTTAAGGGACTCGTCTTTGTCATAGCGTTAAGTTTTGTTCTCATTCCAGCTAATCTACCTCGTTATTTATTTATTTATTTATTTTTCTGTTGCCTTATGGCTATGCAGGGGAAACAGGGACTAAGCACAGATAATTTGGTGTTCCTATTGGCGAAACAACTTAGTCCTAGTGGCGTGAGCAGTTTAGGGCGCATAGTACTTCCCAAGGTGCTGAAAATGCTTTAAATATTTTTGCATGCATGTGTACGTTTGTAAGTCAAGTTAAAATACTCAGTCTCTCCATTATCTAAAGAAGGTCATGGATGTTGTCGAGTTGAGAATATTGTGAGCGTAGCATGTAAGTAACTTGGAACAGATCGATTCGTGGGGTCTGTTTGACCACAGATTTTGATGCAAAGGTGCCATATTTTCTGAAACGTGAAGATAGGCTACGCTATTGTCTGCGTGGTAACGCTTTGTAGCAAATTTCACATTCGTATGCTGTATGCTAGTCTAACTGTTTTAATGCGTCGTAACGCAGAAAGAAGCAGAAGCTCATTTGCCACACCTAGTTGCTAGTGAAGGAGTGTTTCTACCAATGACAGACTTCGACAGCGGTCAGGCCTGGCTATTCCGTTACAGGTATTGTGCGAAGGTGTCAAGTTACTATATAGCATGTTCTGGTTCTTTGGGTTGTTGGACGTGCAGCATGACCATTGCAAGCGTGAATGGAATGCAAGAACACATGAAATTGTGGCGCATGATACCTTAACTAGGACAAGGGATTATGTGTTGTGAGCCGACGGCTAACTGTGTGCCCATTTGGTATAGGTTTTGGTCAAATAATAAGAGCCGAATGTATCTGTTGGAAAACACGCGTAAGTTCCTCTTCATATGTAAATCAGTAAAAATGTCTTGGCAGTTTTTTTTGTTAAGACCTGTTCTGAACTTTGTTGAAAAGTAGTTGTGAGCTTCTGATTGTTCAATTTGTTCATTAACCAAGTATTCATCCAAGGTGGAGATTCACAATTTTTTACTCAGTTAGCAAATGTTATTGATTCTAAAATGGATCTGTTGTTCGTATCACAGGCGATTTTGTGAAGGCGCACAATCTGCAAGAGCGGGATATGCTCGTCTTGTACAGAGATGCAGAAGGCAGCTATGTAAGGGTCATCGGAACCCTGTCGACTATTTGTTGATTTTTTTCAGTTTGCTCTCACGTCCTCTATACTGGATTTGCGGCTGCGCACATTTCTGCACGTAGTCTGAGTTTTTAATTTTAGTAGTCACGTCTGTCGTGTGTTTGATAGTCTTCGCATGTGCAGGGAGTGCATTTTTTATTCTATTTCTCACGATTGGGTGGGTAAGCTCATCATCGAGACGTATGAACTTGCAGGTAGTTCGGGGTGAGAAAGTTGGCGCAATTCAAAGAGATACGACAGAAGAGATCACACGAACTGCAGAGGAGCACTCACAGAAGAGACAGAAGGTTCAGTCTTAATTCAAGCTTAAGGAAGAGAGTCCTTCGTGCACGATGAGAATCTACTGCGGACTATGACTGCATTTTTATGGGCAACTTGTCTGCTGACGCACTACTTGCATGCCCTTTTCCGGCCTATGACTGCATTTTTATGGGCAACTTGTCTGCTGACGCACTACTTGCATGCCCTTTTCCGGCCGACATTAACATAGAGTTTTGTTGTCGATTCCTCATCGAACTTCTGAAATCCATGCAGTAGAGTATGTAATATTTGTAAATATATTTCTTTCTGGCTAGGACAAGGATGGGACAGACCAAATAGTCGAGACTAGTGAGCTAGGAAGTTGAAGCCACAGGTGAGCTTTTGAAACTAGTGTTTTGTTTCAGTGGAGTCGGGTGGGTTTCCTCTCCAAATGTGTAGCTCTTACAAGATAAGTCATTACCAAACGCCTGGAATGTGTTTTTCTCATCTCGATGGCTTCCATTGTACTGTTCGATGAAAAAAGGTGAAGTCTCTTCTTACTTGCATTACAGTACGTCCTTTGCGTTTCATTGTGGTTAGCTGAGTTGCTCACTCTAGGTTGCGGCGCATGGTTATGCTTTGCAGAGACTATATTCTACAGCTAAGAATTTTATCGACAATATTGTGTCACATAACTTTTCAAAAATAGTTGTAAATGAATTGAGAAGTTATCTATCAAAACAACATACTTTTCTGTTTTGTATTATTATATAAATTTTTAAAGTTACTTTCTAGTGGAGAGTGATTATATGTATTTCATTGGTTAGGAAATTCTATTTACTATCATGAAGTTTGCACACTTTAAAAATTATATAATAATTATTTTATAGTAAAGAAATAACTACAGAACTAAGATAGCCTTGTTAAAGACAAATCTATAGTTTATTTGGTTTTCATTTTGGCATACACTACGATAATCTTAGACACAGGAAGAAAGATGGACTTAAAAACCTATTAGGTCTGTTGTTATTGTGTGAAAGTTGAGAGATATGTCACATGATACCTTGGTAAAGAAATTAATTAGTGGCAATATTTCAAATTGGTTACATATCAGCATCTTGGATTGCATACCTACTTAATAAATATTTTTATTAAATCTTTGTTTGTAAGAATTCACAATCAAAAACTTGTTGCATATTTAACTTTGGAATTGAATTATAGAGGTAAATATAATTATTTTGTTTTAAAATTAAAAAAATTAACATTGTGAACTAAAATAGGATTTTAACAATTTGTTAAAATTCCAACACATTTAAATGTATATCATCTGACAAGAGGAAATATTGATAAATACATAATTTTGCTTTAAGTTGTCATAAGCGTAACCAATTAAAAGATATTCCTAAAAAAAGAATAATTTATAAAATATGGTGTCAATATTTTTATTTTATTTCAATAAGAAGATGGTAGAGGTAAGCCATTAAAGGATATTCACAAGAGACAAGAAGCTATGGGTTGAACAAGGCTATCTTTCTTAGTTCTGTAGTTAACAATCTTAAGATGGAAGTAGTACAAATCTTTTGTGTTGAATTTACGAAAACAATTTAAAACAAGAAGAGATATGATTTTTTGAAAGTTGGAGAATGAAGATAGCACTTTCTTATGCTTTGTTTATGAGTCGTAACAATTTCTTATTAGATGAATCTACAAATCATCTAAATTTGGACATTTGAATGTGGTTGAAGTAGACTTTGAAGAAGTTTGAGCAGATTTTACCAATTATTTTGCATTCTCAAAGTTCATGGTATTTATTTACAAATTTTCACAGATTTTATTCTATAGATTTTTTGCAAATTTATCTAATTAATTTACATTTTCAAGGTATTTTAAATGATATATGTATAAACATCATTCATGCAATAAATAAAAAAATCAAATTCTACACAAAAAATAATGATCAATATTATTAATTTCAATGCAGCAATAGGATGAGAGTAGTGATTTTGAATACATACATAAACGTTTCAATATTTTTTGATACATATATATATATATATTAAAAATTATTCATCCAATAAAATAAAAATATATAATTTTATTCAAAAAATTATAATAAATATAGTCAATTTAGATGCAACAGTAGAATAAGCATAGTGATTATGAATACAAACACAGAGATGTGTCTAAGTAATTGGCAAGTGGATGCAGAAATGGCAGTAGTAAGATGAAAATAGTGATTGTGCATGGGTTGGTGTCAAGTAATTGACGAGTGCATGCATGAATGTGTTTGATTAGTCAACAAAGTGCGGATGGTGTAATATGCATGTGCAATAATTGACTAGTGCCAAATATCGATGAGTATCAACAATTGTGGAATCTTTGTGTCGCTGACCGGCTGTAGGAAATAAAGGGGGTGGAGAATAGTGTGAGAACATTGTCACTCACTGTCGTAGAGGTCATGGATTGGACCCAGAGTGCCGTTCAGAAGGGCCTGGAAGGTTACGACAATTAGACTACAGTTGGGCATCTGCAGTTCGGCCGTCTTTTCCAACAAGGTGATTTTGGTCGACTAGTGGATTCCAAGGAACCTGTAATGGAGAAGACGTTTCCGTCAAAATATTGGAGACACACAGAGAACGACGTAGAGGAAATGCTGATGATGGTATCTGCTTTTGCCAAGCAGGGTGTGAAGCAGCGGAATGTGGTACCGTTCACAGGAGCTTTTCGTAAACTCGTGGTTTGGTACAATCATGGAGTATGCAAAGGAGGAGGAGGAGCAGTGTGTTGTTTTTAGAACTTATTATTAGAAGATCAATAATAAAATCTATAGAACAAAAAGACTATGATTATTTTGGAGTTGATAGTAATTGGAGAAGTCTATAAAATTGATAATAAAGAATTTTTAATCTTAAAAAAATATTACATGATTGTACAAAGTGTTTAATTGCCTTCTATATAGAAGGCCACTATCATATCTTTTGATATTAATTCTAGGATTATCTAGGATCTTATTGTATCCTAAATATTTTTTAATTAAAAAATTATAACAAGCTTGAAGAATAAGTAGTCTTGCTTCATTTATTTGAATATATAATTATTTTTTAAAATACAAAAATTTATGCTTACATTTATTACATTAAGTATATATAAAAATAAAAATAAAATACATAACCATCTAAAAGATACTACTTCAAATAAGTTGCTATTAGTAAAAGAATTGGCTCTTGGAATGTAGAAGGACCAATCTATGGATAAGCCATAATATGAAGGACTAAGAGATAAGGTTAATAGAATAAATAATGATTTAAAGAATATTAAAAAATATGTAATATAAGAATAATGTATAACATGTAGACAACTTATTAGTTAAGTTTTCAATCTATCAATGACCTATAGATATATAAAAAATCAAATATGAGTCTATTGAGCTTCTAAGAAGCATCTCCACAAGATATTATCAAATTTATTTACTTCTATTTATTTCTACCTAACTTCTTTAATTTAGATAAATATCTATGTTTGTGATAGTAAGTTACGTTGAATAATAGAAAAATAAGTACATAAAATTATTTTTTGATATTTTCTAAAAAATTATTATTATTATTTTTTTTTTATTTTAATATGACTATAACCAAAAATAAAAAAATATTTTTTAATCCAAGATATAAATTTGTATGAAAATTTGAAAATATAATATTATCTTATATTATATCTTTTCATAGTAATAAAATTAAGTTTAGGATTTTTTTATGTCTTTTAATAATAAAAAGATATATTGTCTTTTTAATAAACATAGTAATATAAAATCCTAAATATCAAACAAAAAAAAGATGGGTATAATTTTAAAAAAATCTCAATGATTATTTCTAATTTTAAAGAAAATAAAAAATCTTAAATAAAGATTGAAATATAAAATATTATTAATAAGACTAATAATAGATTTAATCTTGTATATATATATATATATTTACTAAAATAGTCTTTAAAAAGCTTCTTAAGGACTACAAGACTTTTGGCTCAAGTATTAAGTTATAAGTTGCTTCAAATGCAACTTCTTAGAAAGAAGAAACTTATAGGATAAGTTCAAATAGCCACATGGCATAATAATAAGAGTTCAAATATCTAATCCACATATAAGAAACTTTCTTAAAATTTTATAAGAAAGATATTATCTACTTAATGTATTTATATATACTACTACCTATTTTTAAGAAAATGATTAGTGACCTAAATTTTTACTAAAGCAATGTACATGTTTAAACCACCATTGTACCCTTTTAACCCTGTCCCCATTTAGTTGTTCCCATTTGTCACCCGTTCCCAACCATTGCCATGTTCCTAGCTGCTCCTTTGTTCTTAAATGTTATCTTATTCCAATGTTCCTGCCCCCTACCTCCATTCTTAACAATGGTTGGAAATGGAGAATGGCTAGAAACAAAGATGGGAGCTACAAGGGTGCAATGATGGTTAAAACAGAATGGATCACTTTAGTAGAAACTTGGGTTGCTTTATCATTCCCCTATTTTTATTTTCCTCTACAAATGTCATTGTCCAAGAAGCCAAAAGAAGTTTGTTTACAAAAACAGCTTTTTGTAATATTGGCTTCTTATTAATGACTGTTTCTGAGGCAATAAAACTATACCATTATTGTGCTGGACCTCATAATCATTCTCTAATAAAAATGACACATATCATAGGAATGCGGAGATAGAGGTCACATCAACGCATGTTCTTACTTTCCCTCTACCCAAACAAAACACTGCTCATGTTTCACTTAGGGAAGATTCAACAGCTTCGTCATCCCTAAATGAAAGTTTCGATCTCTTCAATTGATTAGCAGAATCAAAGCCGTCTTCATGTCGACAGCTCAGCGATTGCAACGTGGCTTTGTTAGAGAACGACCGTTTCTTATTGTTTCCTAAGTGGACATTTGAGATTGGAGCCAACATTTGAAGGCTGTCGTCAGATGAAGAACTACAATTACATGTGGTCGGAGAAGCACTTGAAACGTTTTCAGCATCCGTGGGAGATTTACTTACAGGTTGCTCAGCGACCTCAAGCCATTCTGGCTTATTGATAAACCTGCTGGCTGAACACATATCGAAACTCAGAAATGTAAGAAAACCGAAATCTCAAAGACGATACTAAGCTTGATATGAAAAGTGCACATAAGGCGTAATAACAACGGCAGTTAAGTGAATGACCTCAATAACAGAGCTTTACATCAGGTTAGGGCTTGCAGCTTACCAAGGGACTTGTCGATCCTTTCAATACCCACGAGCCTCTTATTAGACACATCATACGCCTTATTGAAAAAGAAGTGTGCGTTCTCTAAGAGAGATTCAGAAGGTGCAGGATTCTTTGGAATCTTGGCGGTGCACAAAACTCTTGCTTTTCCAAGGATGACTTCCTGAACCAGAGAGGAGGTGGTGAGTTAGAGCAAAGAAATTGCAACGACAGAAGCAGTTAATCAGAGTCGAAAAATTGAACCAGATTCAACGATAGAACGACGAAGGTATGGCAAATCACCACTACGTTCTCATTTTCGACTCCTTTCAAATTTCCTTGAGCGATGAATAACTCCTTTGGGTCTTCTTGGAGCGTTTCTTGGCCGAGTACTTTAATCATAGTACTAGGAAGCTCGGCGGCTCGGAAAAACCATCTCACACGAATCATTGGTCTACCTCCTTCCTCGTAAAGTCTCATCAACTTCCCAATATGCGGTTCCACCAAATCTGACCTAATAAACGCACAATCATACAGATTGTACCTAATCCCATTATAAAGCATGCTCTCGTAACTCTGCGTTGAACCTGCGATGTTCTTTCCCCATTGAAACTCCATAGTGCCTAAAGTTTGAGCCATATCTGCTAAAACCGTTGCAATCACATCATCTGTACACTCAACCCCTTCACGCCAACACTTTTACTGCAATAATCCAAGACATATTACTTCAAAGAAAACAGTTCGTGTAATAAACCTAATTAAATGGAAGCTAAAGGAATAATCTCTGAAGCCTAAAACCGAACATATAATTGCGGTAAGCGTCTCTCTCTTTTCCTCTCTTCTACCTTGCTCTAAACCTTTAGCGACCGTTCGTTGCTCTTCCAAGTTAGGGTTCAACAATCCATCAAATCCCTACACGCTGGAATCTCAGTAAAAACAAACAACTACAATCCGGCAAAGACTACGGCCACAGTGATCACCGTCTGAAGCACCATAGAAAATGCTGCGTCCACAACTGACCCTCAAGATACCAATGCGAACATACCACTCGCTGGAACTGTTAGCGAGGAACAGCGAGAAATCAGAGAAAGTCCAGTAACAGTGGAATAGTGAAGCATTGATGCCAGAGACAACGGCAGCTGGTCCGCAGTTCAATTTAAGGCGCGAAAATTCGGCGGCTCCAAAACATCGAGGACGCCACGAGATAGGGAACATTCTAGATCGCATCAGACATGGCTGCCAGCTGCACTAACGAATGCCAGTGAGGAGAGGCTGTGTGAAATGGTAGATGCATGGCAACATCCTCTCAAATCATTATCTATATAGTATTTATTGAAATGATCTTTTATGGTAAAAATCAGATGAATGTGACGAGCAGTTGAATGAAAACAATTGTAGTTATATTACTCCCTTTTCATTTATCGCAAAAAACACAAATTTTGTACAATGCTCTTGATTGATGAATAGTATTTTCTTTCTTTCTTTCAATTTAATTTTGGCTTGTTTTGATCAATATTTAATTTTTTAAACTTATAATATTATCACAAATATATACATTTATATAGATTAAAGAAATTAGATAGAAGTAAATAATTTGATAATATCTTGTGGAAAAGCTCTTAGAAGTTTTATAAATAAAAATAGGAATTTTTTTATGTATTTATAAGTGATTGGTAGGTTGAAACTTGGCCAATAAGTTGGCTATGTATTGCACGTATTGGTGACTTATGGTATAAGTTAGCTATGTGGTATACTTGTTGGAAAGTTATCTTACAAGTTAGACACATGTCTTGTAAGTTGGTATCACCGTTATACATACATATCTTTGTAAATATCCATGTCATTAGGTAGAAGTAGGTAAAAGTAAATAAAAATAGATTAATTTCATAATATCTTCTAGAAAAGCTTCTTAAAAGCTTCTTAAAAGCTTCATAGATGCTAATTTGACTTTACATGTGTTTATAGTTGCTTGATAGGTTAGGAACTTGGTCAACAAGTTAACCATGTGTTGATAGCTTGTAAAACAAGCTAATTATGTGGCACACATATGAAAAACTTGTTTTGCAAGTTAAGGTATGTGTTTTGCAAAGTCAACACATTTTGGAGGTCCTATAAGGTATTGCCATGTAACTCTTAGTTAAGAATATATATGAAGGCAAGAGTGAAGCCTTCTTCACTCTTGTCAAAGCTTTTTGGTTCTTAGTCTTATTTCAAGACTTTCTAGTCTCTTTGTTTTTAGCAATAGCAATTCTAATTCAATATTATATTGTCTTTGAATGACTTTTTAGTTCTTTCAATGATCCAATAGTATATTGAGGATTTCTTTCTTTAAGATTCATGCCCTTGATAGTTGAATACATGTTGGAGGTCCTATAGAATGTGGCCACATATTTCATAGTTAGATAATTGTCATGAACATTCATATTTATTTCAATAATTATCTAGATAATATGAAAAAATAGAAATAGGTTAAAGAAGATAATTTGATAATATTTTACAAATTAATTTTTTAGAAGCTTCATAGAAAATTCTTCACTTTTATACATGTCTATATGTGATTGATAGTTTGAAAACTTGGCAAACAAATTGGCTACGTGTTACACATGTTGGTGACTCTTGATACATATTGAATATTTGGCACACATATAGAAAGCTTGTTTTATAAGTTATACATGTGTTATGTGAGTTGGACACATGTTAGAAGTCCTATAGAATGTTGCCATATAGCTCCTAATTAAATAGTATATGCAAAGGCAAGAGTGAAGCTTTTTTCACTTTTGTCAACTCTTTTATTCAGTCTAATGTATTTTCAAGGATTTCTAATTTTTTTATCTTTTAGTAATAGCCATTTTAGTTTCTTTTTGAATATACATTTGTATTTATTTCATTTTTGTCATCTTACTTTGATAAATATCTCATGTATTTATTTGCATTTATTAAGTTCTTATTCTTGAGAAAAATATGTATGGAGATAAGCGTGAAGCCTTTGTTATTCTTATCAATGCCTTTCATGTTTTTAGTCTTGTTTCAAAAATTTCTAATTATCTTGTCTTTGCAATTGTGAATTAAAATAAATCCCCGTACTAGTTGGTAGTTTATTCTAATTCACAATGATGAATTATCTTATGTTTTAATTATATATAACTATTTACTTAAGTTCTTATTCAATGATTCTTTAAATCTTCTCAATTAATTCCTTTAATTACTAATACATTCACAAACATCCATACATATAATGTTAATGAATTCAAAATTCTTACATGTTGAGGGAATTTTATATTATTTTTTTATCTATCAATAAAATTTCATCCAAGAATGAGTTTTCATCTATGAATGAGAATTCATCCATTAATAAAAATTCATCTGCAAATGAAGATTCATCCAATGTCAGACTCTAACCTAACTTCATTCAAACTCTAACCAAGCTTCATCTAATGCAGAGATTTATTATAATCCACCTTCACGGTTTTGATAATCCTCACCAAGTATGAAGTATATCAAGGACAAGCATGGAGCAGCTGCGGAGGTCGTACTGGATGACAACTTCATCTCCTGTTGGATAACTGGATTATCTTAAAGTGCCAAAGAACTTTTAAGATTACGTCCTCATTGAAAGCAATGCCACAACCGATCCAGCCACGGAACTGGAACAAGCTCGATTAGAGTCCTTGTCGAATGTGAACCCCACAAACACCACACTCCAGTAGAAGAGCGGACGTTGAACAAGCAACCACATACACCTCGATGGAGCCACAAACATTCAACAGCAATAATAAGTTCATGATGAGGGCGGCGGTGACTCTAGAACTTGGCCAGCGCAGCAGCAATTCAGTAAGGGAAGAACTTGGTGCTGACGACGAAGATTCCAATTAGCGGGATGAACAGAGAAGTAGACAATTATCTAAGCGGAACCAAAGCAATCGGCAACTCCAAAACCAAATCCCCACCGCTGATTAACCACGCCGAACTGTAATAACTAAAGCACACATCTCTATTGCCTTCCAGCCCATGTTAGCATCTTCAAAAACTGTAAGCACCAACTGTACACTCTATGAGATCCTTGCACGCTGAATCCCAGAAATCATCGGCAACCAACTGCAGACGGGAACACCAATCGACCGATACAATCAACCATGGGGTCTTAGGCCGACTTCTGAGAAGTCTTCCACAACTTCCACACAATGCCAAGGATCTTTCAACTACACCGCAGGCACAGCTGCACGGAGAAGAACCAGGAAGGTAAAAATCACCTCGGCCACGCCACAGAAACCACCGCTAGTATGACCGCAACACCCTTGCCACTTAGTGCAACCATTAGCGAGAAAATAAACACAACTAGAACACTGGTGTCTTGGTGACAAGGCGAGGGCAAGACTGGCTTGGTACAGCTGTAAGTCGATGAAGCAACCACTGCACCAGGAATGGATTTAGAGAACAAAGACTGCTCAGCGAACTTGGCTGAGAAGTTGCAATGCTATCTGCCCTCTCGCTCGTTGAGCGCAAATGCTTCCACCAATGAAGAAGTTGAGCCTGTAGTGGGTATTGAGAATGCCTCTACTGATAACAAATCTTAGAATGTATTCCGTGACAACTGCCAATTCATCCAAGGGAGCTGATAAATCGTTACCCAACCTTGAGACTGTTCACGACGCTCACATCTCCCACCAGTGCAGTATTTCAATGGCAGCAGCTCGGAGCAACGCCTAGCTAATGCTTCAATGTCATAACCTACCTCAAGATGCTTTCCAACTGTGTCTTCTTACAAGTGTCTTCTCCACCAAAGTCGAGTTCTCCCTTTTCTACAGCAGAGCCTCTCCTTCCTGATTCACTTCCTTTGCCCCGAGATCCGGCTCAGAAGCATCCTCGAGGAAAAACCTTACGGAGGATGGCAAGATCTCGTTTTCAACACCGCTTCAAAATTGGGGCTCACACCTTCAAAATTCCATGCTGTCTCTTATTTTCCATTCCCGCATGAGTGCCAAAAAGATGCTCCTTTGACATGGATGCCCTGATGTGTGGAGAATATATCAATTTGGATCCCCTCTGTTCTTGAGTTAGAATTCCAAGCCTTGTAGAGCACTCATGTGCAAACTGCCATTAGGTTGCCCTTGGAAGTTGGAATTTTATATAGAAACTCCTACATGGAGTTGAATTCTTACCACTAATCATATATATATATATATATATTTAAAATCTAAATTTTTTTATATTAACTTCATCTAATACTTGTGATTTTTGGCATTACAAGTGTAGTTTTTGTTTTAAAACTAATAGTGAGTTAGTTTGATGATTCACAAGGTCTATAATCATCAATTAGTTTAAAATACAAAAATTTCGCTCATATTCATAAATTTTTTTGATTTCAAACTACACATTAGATTAATGTAATAAATTTTTTTATTTCTATTTAATTTTTTTATTTAAATATAATATCAGTGAAATAAATACAACATAATACAAGTAAAATAAGTGAAATCAAACAATTGTATATTATAAAACTCATCAGCCTATTCACTAAAATTTTATCTAATAAAAAATTAAAGTTAAAAATTTAAAATATTTTTAGATAGGAATTTTTTTAATCCTTTGATTACTTAAATAATATATAAATTTAAGTTGTTATAAATGAATTATAATAATTTAAAGATAAAATATAAATAATAAAAAATTAAGTAAATAATTATTACTTCAAGGATAACTTGCTAATGAGATTAAGAATTCAAGCCTCACTAAGATTCACAAATAGTGTATATGATTGTTATAAAGAAGCCACAAGGCCTTCGTCTTATCTTCTTATATGCGTCAAAGATGCTACAATCCATATTAGACTTATGTATCTTTATTTTAACAAAGACTAGACTAATTAGACTAGCTTCTAATCCTCCTATTATCTATTAGTAGAACTAATATTTTTATATTTTTGACTTCACCATGGTGTTTAAAAACATCCAATTAGGCTATGGATTTTACATGGCCTTCAAATCTTGCTCCATTTCTTCATAATAGCTTCCAACATGATAAAACTTATTTTTACCAAAGTCTTGGAAATTACTCCAAATATTCCTAAAAATAATTTTAAATAAATTCTAAATAAATTATAAATAAATTCAAAAATTCTTATAATACTTATTTAATTTTAATATAAATTTGTGCCTATATTTTACTACCTTCAGGATTTTTTAATATTAATAAAATTAATTTAAATCAATTATAAATC